TTTCACTTTAACTTCACCAGCCATGACCATGAGGTTGTCCACGATGTATTTTCAGTGAAATTAACCTATCCAATTTCGAAATTTCACAACATTTCATGTTGCACTGAGTTGAATTTTTATCGATGCCTAATGAAAATTTCCCATTTTTGAAAAAAATAATCCTGGCTAGCATATTGTCCAAAATTATTTTTTATTTTGCACAAACAATATATATATATATTAATTATTAATAAATGTAGACAAAAACAAATTATGTTTCAGAAGTTAGTTTTAATATAAAATTATGATGACTAGTGCCATCTACTTCGAAAAAAGGTTCCGATGCTGAAGCGAGATATCTCGGGTCAACGGTCAAGGTCAGCACATCACGACCAGAGATATGTCAGAAATAACACAGGACAGGTAAACGGGTTTTTTCAAACATTCATTTGTGAAAATTCGATTTCACAACATTCACATCTCCAACTTTCCAACAAACAACGCATGCACAAATCTCACACTACTGTTTGTAGAGAGTGTTGCCATTTTGAATTTTATTTTGACTCGGTTCTCAGTCCACTGAGTACCTACAAGTCTGGTTTTTTTTATGTGCGCATGAATTGGGCACTTAATACTCTGTGTTAAGTTGCAACTCCTAACATGTACTCCTTCATACCTCTAAGCTGTTTACACAGCAGGAAGTACAATTTTATAAACAAGACATAGTCTTGTCAATATATAAATATAAACTATCATTTAAAAAAGTAATACAAATATCACTATGTAAAATATAATTTATTACTTTAAAGCTACAGCCTGCAGATCTTTAAAATTTATATAAATCTTTTGGCATTCATCTTCACTACAATAATGATTTTTTTAAAAAACTTATTTTTTACTTTTTCTTTTAATTTATATAAATAAAAAAAACATTTAACACGGTGCTTTCTAATGACATTTTAACAGCAGAATATAAAAAAATAATTAAAGCTTTAAAACAGAAATAAAAACTTATTAATTTATAATGGTTGTTACATTAATTTTATATTATAAAATTAATAAAGCATTTTATATTAAACTATAATAGGTATAATATTTTAACTTTGGTTTTTAAATATTAACAAAGAGAAAAAAATCTTCTAGTAATGAAGTAACAAAATTAATACTCTGAACTAAATCCTGGCCAACTATACAATAAAATAATCTGATTAACTAAGGATTTGTAGCCAAGTAAAATAATGATATTGTATGTCTCAACTATTATTTAAATAAACAAAGTTCTTACAAAACAATTTCATAAGCATCAGAATATAAAAATAAGCCAAAAGAAAAACAAAACAAATCCTTAAAATCATTTGTACTAAATGTTTTTCAAATATTAAATTTGGATATTTAAAAACTTTAGAAATGGATATAGTAAGTGGCAAAGATGCATACAATATATTCTGCCACTATCATTAAAGTTATGAAAGCAAAGTTAAGAATAAGCCAAACAGTAAATTTTTAAGGTTGAGAGAATAAGAAAGAATTCTAAAAAAATATTATTGTTATAAAAGATAGAGAATTATAATGATCTCATCAGTAGATTACAGAAATAGGATTTATATAAAAAAACTGAAATAGTATTTTATTGTTCAGGTTTAATCATTTAAACTGTTTAAATAAATTATAAAAAATGAAAAACACATTTATTTGTTTCAAGCTGCACATTAATTATTTTCATTAAAACTAAGGATATTTTGTATTAATGTTTTAGTAAACTTACTGAACACACTTCTTCTGTATTTTCTAACAGTGACTTGAATAAGTTAAAATCTTTCATGATAATGGCTCGTATCAGTAGTTTGCTATGCGCAAGAGTTGATATAAAAGGTATTGGCAAGCTAAAAATATTAAAAGTAAATTAATTAACAAATTGCAACATTTCAATATTTTATATTATTTCTAAAGTAGTGTTAATAGTAGAGCTAGACAAATGTCTTTTTTCTCAAATTAGAATATTAATCTGATCTTAAATATTTGAATTTCTTGAATACCTAAATACTTAGTGAACTTAATCACCTTATCTCCTTTGTATCTGTATACAAAATATTTAACTTAAATCATAACACTTTTTTCAGTCAAAAAAATAAAAATAGTGGCACTGGGAATCAATGAACAGTTGTTAATTTTTTGAACAAGTGGGGTTGGGCCACTTTCATGGGGGTTTAGCAAATTAAGCAGTAAGGGTTAAGCAAAAGTAGTGAAGAGAGTAGGAGTTGAGCCACTTATCTATAAATTTTTCAACAAATGAACAAAGCCTCTTAGCGGGCCTATAACTTATTTAAATAATATACATTATATAAATTATTTACTTGTTTTATTTATTCCAATATTTAAATAAATTGATAAAGTAAAACATAGTAAAAAGAACAATTTACTAAATTCTAAGAAATTTTAAGTTTTACATTGCCTTCTTTTAGGTACTGTTATCTTAACTACAATAAATTTAAGAAAAAAGCTTGTCTTGTTGAATTTATGACAAGAAAAGCTTTTCTTGTCATAAATTCAACCAGAGGTGCCATCTACAAATGGTGTAATAATGAATGTATTTGTAGTATTTAAAATTTATTTTTTTTATCAATATTATATTCAAGATCTAAAATTCTTTCTAGTATTCAAATACTTGCAAATAGTATTTGCCCACTCTATTTAACAATTTAAAAAGCAATTAAAAATATTAATACAATTATATTTAAAAATTTACACAGTTTCTATAACATTTTATTCATTAATGTACTGTACTTCCCTTAACATATGTATTCTTGAAGACTGAAATATTTAGTATTGATCACAATCACTGAATTACTTAAGATACTAACTTGAGTATTACAACTTTATTATCACAAGTATAGTTTTGTATTTCATCTGATTCAGGTTTGCTTATTTGTGACAAACAAATTAACACATTTTATTTCTCATAAGTCAAAGATCCTTATTATCATATACATAACTCAAAGAATTTTGAATCTAATGATGAGATTTAGTCACAGAAAACTTCTAATCGAAATAAACTGCTGGTTCCTTAACTCTTTATCAGTTTTAAAATGTTTTATAAATACTATATATGTAGTCAACTATTGTAAGAAAGGTGTTTAATAATAAATACTATGTTTCTGAATAATTTAAAATTATATATTTAGCCAAAATTACATACATTAACATATCAATAACAAAAAAATTAAATTTTTACTTGGACTGAAATGTGGGATCCTTTTCAAATATTTTCACTTTAGGATTAGGAGTAAGTTTTTCACTTTTATATATTTTTTTTGAAGATTCAGTTTGTCTTCCACCCGGTTCTTTCTGTTTTACACCTATAATCAATTATTATAAATAATCACATAGCTTTTACAGTAAGTTAAAAAATTTTTAATTACTTTCCTATAGATAAAATAATATTTGAGAATACATGAATTTTGGTCATAGACTGTATGTATATACCAATTAAAGCAATTTCTTTAATTAAATTGTTCATAATAAAATATTCCAACATTTTCAATACAAAATTAATATTTTACCATTAATATGATAATTAATAGTCTTTTAAATGTAGTATATACAGTATAGCATTGAACAACATGCAAAGTTGATAAAGTCAACACTTTCTATCTCTTTAATACACAAATAATAGTAAAAAAGCTTTTTTATTAGATAAATCTTCATCTTCAGAAGAAGAAAAATATTACATTGAAAATAAAATTTCTTTATTTCTCACAAATTAAAATGGATTAAATAAATATTCTATTTTTTCAAGATCAAAAATACAAGTTTACAACTGGTATCAGACACAATATTTTTATCATATATATAAAAATTTGTGCATTTGAATAATGTAGACTGTTCAAAAAACAAGTAAATTTTTTTCACAACCTGCATTCAAACACTCTTAAATTTATAATTTGTAAATAACTTTTAAATTTTAATTCAGTAGTTATTTAATTAAGAAAAATATTAATTAGTCTTATATTAATCAGTAATTTTTTAATAGTTATGTTAATGATAAACTGGTTTGCTTGTTTTCATTCTTATTTCTGTATAATATTTGTTTATTCTAAAGATGAAATTTCTTCTTCAAAAGTGCTCAAGAGAACCAAAAGAATTTAAACCCTCAAAAGAAAGCCACGTCTTATCTTTGAGGATAAAAATATTTGAAAATATAATTCAAATTAAAATTAGTAAATAACTTTTCTGTAAAGAGATTTAAATTAACTTTGACATGTGTTATTCAAATTCTGTTATGTAAAATATGAAGAAGAAGGCAGAAAATAAGTTGTTACTTTATAAACATTAAATTTAAGTTGTGCAATGAAAACAAGTATAGCTAATCATATATTTATTGTATTTATGTTAAAGAAAAACTGATTTTCCAAAATAAAGAAATTAAATATTTATCCAATAACATATATAACAAACCATAAACACTCTTCCAACAGGGAAAACATCTTTTAATTTTCACAATAGCAAAAGTTTTTAGCTTTCTTTCTGTGTAAATCCAGCATCAGATTTACACATAAAAAAACAAACACAAACTGAGAATTCCAAACTTAAAATATTTTGACATTGTTCTTCTATGGCATTTAAAAAAAGGCCAAAAACATTTGCTATTGTGAAAATTAAACATTCTTCCAATAAGAAAATGTCTTTTATGGTTTGTTGCTTGCTATTAAGATAAGAAAGTTCCAGCTTTTAAAATATTTCTTGAATCAAATATTTAATGGCTTAAACATAACAGTATCATAAATTTGTATATCAATAAATTAAATCATTAACATAAAAAAGATTTATGAGATATTATAAAATTTTATTTTAGTAACAGATATTAAACTATATATCTTCTACCTTTATTATAGTTTGTGTAATATAATTTTAGCTAATCATCATTATCAGATATGATTATACTAGTTTTAAATTTTTGTATTCACATGAAAAATAAAATGGTATAACAAAAAATTATTATTCATGTTCATGAAATCTTGCTATTTTCAATTCAGACTTCAGTCAGAGGAAAATTAATACAATTACTTAAAATGAACTTTTCTAGATAAAATGTTTTTAGACCAAAATTTGTAGATTAAGTAAAATATTAAGTAAAATATTTTATGTTTACAATACAAATTAACAAATTTCATTTGAATAAACATTTGGTTTTGAAGATAATTTAGACATGTGGCTGAAAATTTCTTAAATAAGTAGTATACTACAATAGAGAAATAATCAATCAGAATTTACTTAATTCATTTTAATTTGCATTATAAATGTACTTTTAATACATGCATTTCATATATTAATTTTAACTTAAATAAATCAATTATAAAATAAAAACATTTAATCTTTAAATTATACCTTGCTTTGTCCTTAGTTTCACTTTTGCTAATTCTCTAGATTCTAGCTTCACTTTTGATGCACTTCCTTTTTGTTTTTTTACACCTAATAACAACAGAAGTTTTTATTTAAAAAGTCTACATTTTGATAAGTCAATTTATTAAAATTTTATGTTATTGAATTTTACTACTTGAATAAACAAAATATTGTGAAATCAAAATTGACAATTATTATTGGTGGTTATATATTTTTAAACAATTAATAATATAAGATCAGTTGTGTGTGCATGTGATTGCTTATAACTTCTGCAGTTTTTGTCAAACCAGATAAAAATTTGTTTTTGTTGCTCTTTTTGTTACAACAGCTAATATAAACTACTTAATTTGTAGAAATATTAGCAACTCTTCTTGAATTTCTTGAAATTGCTACTCTTCTCAATTCTTCAGTCTCTACTTTCCCATAAAAAGTATTCCATCATGCTTGACAAGGAAATTTCTAGTTTATAAATATAATTTAAAATGTTCATTTATTTGTATTATTATTATACACCTAATTTTTGTTCTTGTGATGAATAAAATATGATTTTAAACAAAAAAACTTAATAATGAAGAAGAATTTTAAAAATAACATCAAATTCATTAAAAAACTTGGCATTTCTTCTGTACATAACTTTATCTATTTTAATTATAAAAGGAAATGTCTGAGGATAAAAGACTTTCACAAAAAAACAAACAAACATTAAACTACTACATATTATAAAGCATAGTTTACATAACTTTTTTATATTGCAAGGAATCATGATAAAGCACATGTTTAATCATACTATTAGCTACACAATATAAATATTATTTGTGAATAATGCTTAAGCAAAAAAAAAANGAATATGAATACTTTGTATTCATATTCATATTTTCAAAATGTGAATTCAAATATTCAAAATGCGTATTCAAATATGAATATGAATACTTCGTATTCATATTCATATTTGAATACGCATTTTCAAAGTATTTTCAAAGTATTCATATTCATATTCATATTTTCATTCATTTAATAAAATGTAGAATACGAGTATGAATACTTTGTATTCATATTTGTATTTGACGTTTTATTAAATGTTTAATTACATTGACCATGTTTTAATTTGTTATTTTATTTATAATTCTTTACATTTTAATCATGATAAATTATTCTGAATTAAAGTATTTGTTGGCTTTTTTTTAGTCCTGATTAAATTATTTTTGCAATTTTTTTTGCAATGTAAAAAATTTGATTCTTAAAGTTTAACTTTGAAAGTATAAAATGACAAAACTTTCTTAAAAATAACTACTGATTATGTATATAGGTTATATTTAATCAAAAGACTATGTAAGTTTTATAGCAAGATATTCCAATGACTGAAGTTATTCCCTATACATCCCTTGCTTAATGCAAGATTTGATTAATGTGCAAAATTAATTGCAGAAATCCCTTTATAAATGCAACTTTACCAACATAGACACCATATTTGATCAATGCAATTTTGATATACAGTATGTAGTAGCATCAAGGGATTAATGAACCACGTTAATCAATGGATACCCGCACTTACATTAGATAAGAGACTGATAAAATAAATATATCAAAATATGTTATTACAAGTTTATTTTTACAATTCTAAAACTCATTTTTCATTATTTCAACTATAATTAAAAGATTTTCTTCTATATATAATTGTATGTCAAATTTTTAACATTAATTAATTCTTAACATAATATAGCTTGATCCTCACACCAAATAATAAATCAAAGGAAGGAAAACTCACTAAGTTTGTTGAAAGTTCTAGCAATATAAAAAACAATTAACACCATATTCAGTGAGTTTTCCTTCCTTTAATTTAATTAATTCTGTTTTTAATAAGAAGAATTATTTGAAATTTTGCCAACAACCTTCTAGAGCAGTGTTTTTCAACCTTTTTGAATACGCGACCCCTTTACAAGTTAAAAAAATTCTGGCGACCCCCCTATGGCCATATTAAAACTATATCAGTGATTTTAAAAAATATGTATTTAATTTTCTTTCTGTTGAGAGAAATTACTGTATAAATATATTTTTTAATTAAAATTGTACGGTATAAGCAATGTTAAGCATGTGAGTATAGACTAAATATTGTTAAGTCTGGTACTCATATGCTGAAATGGACAATCGATAAGCTAAATATTTCAGTTCTGTATTCTTTGTGTGTCATGTGTACTTACATGCACAAATTACCATACAACTGAAACGCATGCCATCTGCCAGCCGTACATATAAATAGCTACTACAATTGTATAACATAGGCTAGTAGTCAAAAATTGCAACCAACCAGGATTGGTTTGTTATGTCAATTAAATTTTCTAATTTTGCTTATGATCTTATCACAAATAAGTAGTAGTAGTTCCTCCAATGCTATGTATCATTGGAGGAACTACTACATACCAGGCAGCAATTATCATCCATCGGTTTTGATCCTGGGTGAAGGCTTCAGCTTCCTCCCATGTCACATTGAGCATCTTCAAATCAGGTCCACACAAGTACATCCCATCATGGCTTCTTCAGAGAATAAAAAAGAATAGTAAACTTTGAATAAGCACATATGTGCTCCACATTAGCCTGGGATTATCAATTGACCTGATTCAAACAGTGCATCTATTCACTTTTCCACTCAAAATAAAAAAAAATGTGGCTTCATCGCTAAAAGCAAGATTTTTTTACAGAACTCGTCCAGTTCTATGACATGTACAAAACTACAGTAGTGCATATGGTTCTCGAGAATCAATGCTTGCAACAACTAAACTACATGTGGTATGGCTGCTTCTTCAATCATTTGTGCAACACTTTCCAAATGGTTGATCACAGAATATTAACTTCACTGTGTCCCTCTGTGAGATGATTTTTGTGGACTATGCATGAAATTGACAATCGCATTTGACCATTTCTCCAGGCACAAGAGAATAACCTGTTGATTTACCTTTACAGAGGCATCCTGTAGATTAAAATGCTCATACCATCACCAGATGAAATTAGCATGGGATAGATCTTTTTGAAATTTTGTTCAAAAGTGTTGCTGAATCATGTGACAAATTGACTCAAATGAAACTCAAGAAAATGCCTTCTCGCTGTTGTGTTTCTTGCCATCTTACAACTCACCATGCTCTAGAGCTGCAGTTGGAAACATGAAGCCAGGTAATTTGAAAAAAACTTTGATAAAAAACAAATATCTTTTTAAACATGATCACTACATCTCTAATAATATGCTCACAAAATTGCTATTTTCTTTTATAATCATGCTTTTATATTCCTTATTGCTTGTCTAAAGTTTTCTATACAGTAAGACTTGTGTAAACCAAAATTGCACCATACCAAATTTTTTTCTGTAGTAGTTTATGTACTTATTTGTATAGTTTAATCTGCAGTTGTTAATGTTTTGAAAATATGAATATGAATACTTTGTATTCATATTCATATTTTCAAAATGTGAATTCAAATATTCAAAATGCGTATTCAAATATGAATATGAATACTTCGTATTCATATTCATATTTGAATACGCATTTTCAAAGTATTTTCAAAGTATTCATATTCATATTCATATTTTCATTCATTTAATAAAATGTAGAATACGAGTATGAATACTTTGTATTCATATTTGTATTTGACGTTTTATTAAATGTTTAATTACATTGACCATGTTTTAATTTGTTATTTTATTTATAATTCTTTACATTTTAATCATGATAAATTATTCTGAATTAAAGTATTTGTTGGCTTTTTTTTAGTCCTGATTAAATTATTTTTGCAATTTTTTTTGCAATGTAAAAAATTTGATTCTTAAAGTTTAACTTTGAAAGTATAAAATGACAAAACTTTCTTAAAAATAACTACTGATTATGTATATAGGTTATATTTAATCAAAAGACTATGTAAGTTTTATAGCAAGATATTCCAATGACTGAAGTTATTCCCTATACATCCCTTGCTTAATGCAAGATTTGATTNCCTCTAACGAATCGTCGCCCCCTTCAATGAAACCGTTACGTAGTATCGCCCCCTTCACTTCAAAATTCCGATGTCGAGGCCCAAGGCTAACGCCAAATTCGTACTGCATTGAATAGACTAGTGACTAATATAATATTATTTGTTTAATTATTATACGATATAACGAATAAAATATCTAATTATTCTTAATATAATGTTTTACTGTATCGCCCAGAAAATTGTTTTTCGCCCCCCAAAATATAAATTGTTACTAATCGCCCCCTCAACATGGAAAAACGCCCACATGGGGGCGATATCGCCCCCGTTGAGAAACACTGATATAAAGTTTATATATTCAACACAACCTTCATTAAATGCCAGATTATTTCAGGTTATATTTTGGCTAAATATTAATCATCAAAACAAACTAATTTGTCTAATGGTAGGCGGTAAGGCTATCATGATGCATCAATATTAATAATTTCATTAATTTTGTAATTAAATTTAATAATAAAGGATATTCTGAAAGAAAAAACTGATCCAGAGTAAAATTCAAATCTGTAAATTCTGTATATATACTATCACACCTTACAGTTTCATTAAAATAATTTTAAGGAACACTAACATTGCTAGAACTTTAAGGTCCGATAGTATATATTCACCCAGTTTAATTTATTCATTATGTAAAAATTCTGCTTACTAAGCACAAATGCAATACCAGCTATGTTACACAAACTTCCATCCAATCTTCCCTTCCAGACTAATTAATTCAAGATATATAATCATACATATTAATTTTAGATATAATTACTTTGTTTAATAATGAATAGTTAGCCAAATATCTAAAATAATCTGATATTTAGTAATTTGTTTATGATAATGTTCAGGCTTGGTTGTTTATATAAATTCCAACTTACAGGAAAAACCACCAACTGATTGAGTTATCACAATTTTTTCCATCAGCAAATAAACACTTTAATGCAACCAAGTTAATGTTTACAGCTGTTATAAACAGCAATACAACAACTAGTTAAAAAATAGCTGTTTTCTAACCAATTATACTGCTGTATTTGTTTTTAATTTAACCTAAGCTCATGTTCAAGAATGATATCTTTTTTCTTATTTGTTTTTAAGAGTATTCCACCTTACNGGCGACACCCATCATTCGAACCTAAATGTCAATCAAAAAACCAATTGTACTGTATAATAAACAGGTACAGCCTTCTCGCTGAAATTGTAGTTTTTTAATGTAGTATAGGACCTACCAACACTTGTCTTTTTCTTTTAACCACAACCCCCATGTAAGGCTTCGCGACACCCCTGGGGGTCGCGACCCACAGGTTGAAAAACACTGTTCTAGAGCATTCAACGTTCTGTTATAAATTAAGTACTGTTCATTATTTTTAACATAAAATAAATTTAATAGTTTAACAAATAATTTAAATTAAATCGAAACTAAATACCTCCATCCATAGTGACTTGATGAGGATCTGGTATGTCCATTCCATTTTCAACATTTAATGCCCTTTGTAATATGTTCATTGTGCGCTTCCATTCGTCATTTGGTAAATGATATTTATTTTTGTCAGCTCTTCTCATTCGTAAATTTGTTAACACGCATTCAAAATCTAAATGAATATATAAAAGTTAACATTATTATTATAAAATAATAAAACTCTCATTGTACTCTATTCACTTTTAAGATTTTAGAAGAATAATAGTAAATTTAAAATATTATAACATAAATGGCAAAAATCAAAGTTTGTAAAGAATAACTATCTACAATACTGTTAAAATTAAGGTTCAATGAAACAACACCTTTCAAACAGTGAGAAATATTTGGATCTAACATTCTTAGTCTAATATTAAAGAAACAAAATTCTTATAAAAGTCTTTTGCTGTCAATTAATGTAAGTTATGATATATTTATGTATTTTTAAAATTATTTTCAGTGAAGTATGATGGATTTTTAATTATACCATAACTAAATGAAATAAGCAGTGTCATTCATTTTCAATCCATCAACATATAAAGCAGTGTTTCTCAACCTCTAACGAATCGTCGCCCCCTTCAATGAAACCGTTACGTAGTATCGCCCCCTTCACTTCAAAATTCCGATGTCGAGGCCCAAGGCTAACGCCAAATTCGTACTGCATTGAATAGACTAGTGACTAATATAATATTATTTGTTTAATTATTATACGATTAACGAATAAAATATCTAATTATTCTTAATATAATGTTTTACTGTATCGCCCAGAAAATTGTTTTTCGCCCCCCAAAATATAAATTGTTACTAATCGCCCCCTCAACATGGAAAAACGCCCACATGGGGGCGATATCGCCCCCATTGAGAAACACTGATATAAAGTTTATATATTCAACACAACCTTCATTAAATGCCAGATTATTTCAGGTTATATTTTGGCTAAATATTAATCATCAAAACAAACTAATTTGTCTAATGGTAGGCGGTAAGGCTATCATGATGCATCAATATTAATAATTTCATTAATTTTGTAATTAAATTTAATAATAAAGGATATTCTGAAAGAAAAAACTGATCCAGAGTAAAATTCAAATCTGTAAATTCTGTATATATACTATCACACCTTACAGTTTCATTAAAATAATTTTAAGGAACACTAACATTGCTAGAACTTTAAGGTCCGATAGTATATATTCACCCAGTTTAATTTATTCATTATGTAAAAATTCTGCTTACTAAGCACAAATGCAATACCAGCTATGTTACACAAACTTCCATCCAATCTTCCCTTCCAGACTAATTAATTCAAGATATATAATCATACATATTAATTTTAGATATAATTACTTTGTTTAATAATGAATAGTTAGCCAAATATCTAAAATAATCTGATATTTAGTAATTTGTTTATGATAATGTTCAGGCTTGGTTGTTTATATAAATTCCAACTTACAGGAAAAACCACCAACTGATTGAGTTATCACAATTTTTTCCATCAGCAAATAAACACTTTAATGCAACCAAGTTAATGTTTACAGCTGTTATAAACAGCAATACAACAACTAGTTAAAAAATAGCTGTTTTCTAACCAATTATACTGCTGTATTTGTTTTTAATTTAACCTAAGCTCATGTTCAAGAATGATATCTTTTTTCTTATTTGTTTTTAAGAGTATTCCACCTTACTTAAATTTAATAAAATCAAAAAAAAAAAATAATAAATTTTACTTGCTTTTTTAATTAAAAAAGGTATCTTCATATAACATATTTAAATTACACAATTAAACATTAAAATTTTTCAAAATATTTCTTAAATGACTTTTTTTAATAATAATTTATTATAAAAGTTATTAGAGGTATTAAAAATAGTATAAATAAAAGAAAATTTATTAATACTGCTATTTTTCTATAAAGTTATACAGTCGACTCCCCTATAACACTGTTGATTTTTCTGTTTTATACGAATTCCATCCTGTACGAATCACATAGATTTTACAAATACATGTGCCGGGCTATGAACGGCTCATGTATTTGTAAAATCTAAGTGACTCGTACAATATGGAATTCATATAAAACGGAAAAATCAACAGTGTTATAGGGGAATCGACTGTAATCTTGAAACAATTCCAGTCAAAACTTCAATCAAAATATTGATAGAATATGCAGTTTTTCTTTTTGTTACAACTTTTTCAGATAAGTTTTGAATGCTTATAAGAATATGTGACAATAATTTGTCATAATTAATTGAATTTTTATGCAATTATTAGTGATGTAATGAATATTCGGTTACTATTCAATATTCGGCCAAATACCAAATATTTAATCACTATTCGGCTGAATACCAAATACCTAAAAACAGGAGTAAGAAATAACAAAAACACAGTAAATTAATCATTTTGGTATTTAGATTTAATGTTATAGGGTCAGTGTTGTTTGTTTATATTTATTTATAACTTATAACATGCACAAAATAAAAAAGGACACAATATTAGTCACTTGTATTCACAATTTATAATTACAAAGATCAGCACACGTACACACCTATTCATTCGAGAATCGTCACACATCTGAGGGTCTGACCCTGCCTATCCTTCTTTTTAAGTGCTTGTCTTTGCTCTTCCCTTTCTCTTTCTTCTATCACTCTAGTCCACGTATGCCTATGCATACATCATAATACGCCCTCACGATACTTTCGATTCATCACTTTTCTGTTGTAGATTTCCCATTTTACAATTACTTGACTCATAGCCTGGTGATAACAGAGAAAAGAGACAGATAGGACGTTGGTATAAGTCACAGTTATGATTTCACAGATTCGAAACAGCTCGGTAGCCCGAACGACCCCAGGCTTTCGCCCGTGCACGCTAAGTGACTTTCATTACAAGCATTTAGCTTTTCGAAGTCTATGACAACAATTATTTTTCATTCATGGCCGCGAATTTCGCGCAAATAAGCTGCCTCAACTTGTTCGAAGCAGCTTGTTGAGTTGATAACATAACTGACTTGTTTGATTATGTTATCAATTCAATTTCATATTTATTTTCACATTTTCACTTTGCGGTCCTTCTCTGTTCTTCTTCCGTTATTTGCACGTGTAGGTCATTTCATTGTTATCCAGATTTGATATCATCACTTATCATACTGCCATGATGCTCTTGTCTGAACTGTCAAGAATTAACGCGATTGATGAAGCATAGTGACAGTGGGCCAATAGAAAGCAGGGTCCTTGCCATAATGCAGTTTGCGCGCCAATTTTCATATGTGCGTTAATCAAGCCGAATAGTTTGGCCGAATATTCGGTATTCGTTGCAACACTAGCAATTATACATTATATTCACATATGTTTTATTGTTTTAAAATGGTATGTGAAACAATCAAACACAAATTAAAAAAATAGCATTTCAATATGTAATATGCATTTTCCTTTATGAAGAATTTTTTCTCTGAATCTTTCTTTTCAAACAGTTTTTCATGAACACATCATAAACAGTGTGTCCTGAAAATATAGATAACTTATATGTTTTTATTATTATTTTTTAAATATTAAGTATTTCTTAACAATGCAAGTGGTTATTATTGTTTATTTATAGCATGGTACAATGTTATATAATTGTTTTTACAATATTTGACAGTTACATAAAGTGTTAAACACAAAATACTTATTTTGTGATGTCCCAAAAATATAGATAAGTTAAACTTTGAGCAATAGTACATAACATAAATTAATGAAGTTGTTTTTAATATGAAATAGAACTGCCATTATGTTTAATGAAACCATTTGAAACTAGTACTCGATAATTTCTTGTTTAAGCTCTGAAAGTGACATAAAATGCCTGTTAGTAGCATAAATTTTTTGAGCAGGAATGCCCCACAAGTTCTCAATAAGATTAATGTCTGGGCTTCTTGCCGGCCACTTCATAACTTGAATACTATGATCTTCAAGCCACTTAGTTGTTGAGTGTGAACAACAAATACTGGAATTGTCCTGTTGGAAACTCCAATCAGATCATCCAAAGTTCTTCTCCAATTGGTAATAAATTATTTTTTAGGACTTCTTTATAACTTTTAGACATCTGTCTATCAGTTAAAATCACTAAATTTGATATACCATTAAATCTAAAGCATCCTCACACCATAACAGAACCATCACTCCTTTGCATGCTGAAAAACTGCACCTCTTCCTTCCTAATATGACACTAGTAATTAGACCATACAAATTAAATTTATTTTTATCACTGTAAAGGATTGAGAGCCATTGGTCATTCCACAGCATGTGATCTTTAGCCCACTGCATTCTTGCCAATTTGTGTTGTTTTGTTAGTGATGGTTTTTTCATCAAGGCATCAAATTTTATATGTGGAGCTGCTGAAATTCTTTGTTGAACAGTTCTTTTTGATATTTTTAATCCACTTTCACACAAAATTTGATGAACTGATTTATCTTCTTCTGATGCAAGACACACAATTCAATTATCATCACTTTAAGATATGATTTTCAGCCTTCCTGATCAATGTTTAGAAGGTATTGATGATAACTTCTCCAAAATTTTATAAATTTCAGGAGTAAATCTATTCAATGACTTAGAGCCACCCCCACACACACCAACATCCATACATATGGAAACCACAAATTTTTTTTTTCATTTCTTGATGTTTTAAGATGTCCTGAGCCCAAAATGTAAAAACCTTGGCGGTCATTTTTTGACCAATCACCCTCTATTATGTATAATAGCAGGGAAAGTAAAAGAAAGTCAGTAGTATCAGAACTATATGTCGTGGTTGGAGAGCAATTCCCCAACCACCTCACTTCCAATATGACATCCTCACTACAGTTTTAATGTATTTGTAAACTATCTTCATTTTATTCTAAAATAAGTTTTAATGTTTTCCAATTATCATTTAAAACATATTAAAAAATTATATTAAGTAATTAAACACATAAATAGAAAAATAGTCCACTTTATTGTAAGATTCTTAAAATTTTTTAAATAATTGTTAACAAATTATTTTATAAATAGATTTTTAAAATAAATTTAAACAGATATTCTCATTCAATAAATAAAATTTTCACAACTGATGAAATCTGCCATTTTGCCTATGTCATGCATAAACCACAAGAGCCTTTTGCTTGGATTTTTCCTGTGCGCCTGATCCTGACATAAGGAAAAAAATGTGTCAATTTTAGATGTAAGCACAGATTTTTTCAAAGGCTTTTTATAGTGCAACCATGCAACTTGGTTCATGCACTGAAACAATTTTTAGACCCTTAGCCACTTCAAACTGGAAGCAGCTACTGACTGCACATTTCACATCACTGATGAGAAAATGCTAATTAGTTTGAGACTTGACATACAAGCAGTTCTATATGAACAAAGTGTTAACTATACTGACACATCTGGCTACTGCATTTTTCATTAGCATGTTTATTCAAGAGTATAAAAGATCGTTCTGCAGTTTTTAGAGTGCTACCAATAAATCCATAATTTAAATACAGCTTCTATAAAAACTATAGAATATCTGTAGCAGTTGTCATCTCTACAGTCATAATTAGGTACAGTACCTTATTAGTGTCTGTTTTATTCTATACCAATAATTTCAAGAATGTTAAACAGGTACTGTATATATAAAAATGCATTTTAATAATCGTATATTCTATGTTAATTTTATTAAATTATAAAAAAATTTCAAATTTTATATAAATAACAGAGAGCTCTTGAGATAGATCCAGAGAATGCTGTATTCCAGTTGCACAAAAAAATGTTTTCTGTTAGTAACATTTCAAAAGATTTGCATACATAGCAGCCCATTTTTCATATATTCTAAAAGTTGTACAGAAACTGGAAACATTTTGACATAAAGGTAACAAGAATGGATGGAAGTAGTTTCTGAGATTGTGACCAGAATGTAAAAATTTACTGGAGAAGTACAGCTAACTTAAAAACAAAGTTCTTCAGAAGAATCTGGGACTTAAAATGCTTCAAGACATTGGTAAAAGTATTTTCATTGATCACAAAATTGGTCTAAAACCCATGGAAATAGCTGATATGAAGTTCGGCTCTGTTATATATGAAGTTCTTTCTCTGAATTTTCTTTCAGACTGCAAATTTAGTTTTTTCTAACAGAAAATCTGGCAAAGTATTTTGCAGCAAACTATGCCCACAAAACTCTTTACAGAAATGATGTTAATTAATAAATGAAACTTTAATAAAAATGAAAAGATTCTAGTAATTTAAACTTTTGTGAAATAAAATGTATTTCAACTATTAAGACTAAATATTACTTTATTTATTTAACATATAAATATACATAAATTGCAGTTTTTACAACATAAAAATCTATGTTTCTCAAACAATACTCCTTTTTTATTGGTCATGTTAATAACTTTCTTTGGAATGTGTTTATTGATCAGCTATATTTATCTTCCTGAATATTTTATTCTTTTATGATAAACTATACAGAATAAACTTAGTATATTATCAAAATAAACATAACTATCTGTAGAAATGATTAAGCAAAAAATAAATTTAACAATTTGTTTTTCATTTAATGCAATTTCACTGAATGTTTGTTAATGTTTGAATTACAAGTAATCAAATTTTCCTAACATATCAATCCATTTGAATTATTCTAAATAAGAATCAATAGTTAACATGATTTTAGCCATTTATAGATCAAATATAGAATTTATTTAATACATAATTTAATAAGTAATCATTTCTTAATATTTTATTCAAAAAATAAAGAATTCTGTAGTTACAAAATTAAATATACCTGTATAGTCATAAAAGTCAGGAGTGTAGATGTCTGTATCATCATTATTTAGCCATTGTATTTTAAATCTTCTGCTGCTCTTATAAACATTTTGAGCTGTACGGCAGACAAAGAAGGTTCCTAGAAAGAATAAACAAATGGTTAATAATACACGACCAGACATTTAATTAGTGATACCCAATCTATTTTATTTTTCACTATTAAATTTAATAAACTTATCTCCAAATAAATTATCATTCAATGGAAAAAAATGGATTAAAAAATAAATTTTTTACCAATTATAATTAATGAAAACTACTAAATTACTAAACAGCACAGAAATAATTTTAATTAGAACTTTAGCTCATTACCTTTGTTAATAATTGGAAGATAGAGAAAGGAGCATCACCATCTTTTAGTATTTAATGATTTACTAATTTTAATAATTAATATCCAGAAAATGAATATCTCAGAAGCTTTACCTAATTCCTGTTTAAAATAGGAATTAAATGAAATATGACAACACTTTTGAAACAGAGCTTGTACATTCTAATTTCGTTTTAATTTTCCACTTGTATTGTTGCTGAGAATGTTTCATTTTCAATAACAATAAAAAGCAGAAGTTTCTTCTTATATTGAGATTTTTCCTTACATAGCATGTTATTGTTGACTTATCTAGAAAAAGCTTTGTCTTATTATTGAAAAGGAATATTTTACACTAAACAATTCTGACTACAGACATTTATTGAAAGAAACCTTTCTTTTATATTTTTTGTATTAATTTACAGTGATTTCATCCAGAAGTGCAGACTATGTCCAATCATACAAAAGAGGTTTGGGGAAATTAAAGCAGTTTGGAGAAATCTGTAGTGTAAAAAATATTACACCAACAATAAAAAAAATGAAGTAGCATATCAACTATATCTACAGACATTAATTGTAGAAATTAGCTAAAATGTAAGAATCTTGTATTTTAAAAGTGAAATTGGAACATCATTTAATTTTTTTATAATCAGTTCAGTCACTTGTTTGTTACATTGCTTCCTACTTACTCTGTTACCTACTTGCAGTAGTAAATACGTAGAAATATTAATCACATAGATAATATTCTACTGGAATAAAGGAAAGGTTAACAAAAACAAACGTTTTCGAACAGCTTGACCGCCCTGCTTCAGGTCAGTTACAAATGTGTTCCATGTAGAATGATTATTCTAAGCATTCTACATTTGAATTCAATTCAAAATTTAAACTACTTTGATTTTATGAACTTTAAACTTTACCACCAATATATTTTACACAATGTTATATTAACAACTCATCATTCAATTGAGTTATTATAATAATCTTTTCCCCCAGATTATCACAAAAAGCTCTCCAAACACATGATAAAAAATCTGCATCCTGTATATTAATACATTCCTTCTACAAGGCTGTTTTAAATACCTCTAACATCTCTAAAAATTTTGTTTCTTCTCTATTAAAACATGCTTTAATTAATGATGCTTTCTCCAGTTGAGCTTCAATTCCTGGTTCTGAGGTATATATGGATAGTACTGTTATTTGTTTCTCTCTCTCAATATCATAGTTGTGTTCTTTAATCCTGTCATTAGGAGCCACAAACAGATCTTCTAATGGCTTATATATATATATATACAGTATATGTATACTGTAAGGTCTCTTTTTATGTGGATTATTTTTATGCGATTTTGAAGTTGTGCGGTTTGTATTTCATCCAAAAATTTCTTGGACAAACATACATATAGGCTTGTTTAGGAAGCCTGCTATAGACAGTCTGCAAAAATCGTGGAACGCTCAAAGCTCACTCCATTTGTTCCACTGACATATAATGTTTATGGATGTAAAGGACGGCTAGATCTACCTTAATCGCTTTAGTTCCTAGCAATTTTTGATATAAATGTAATTAAACATTAAAAATACTTAAAACTGAAAAAACAAAAGAAATGCGTTAATTTTGAAGAAAAAGCTTCAAAGTTTAACTTCCTTTGTCTCGCCCTTCTGTAAAATTTAACACCAATGAGTCATTGTTTACACATCTGACCTTGAACACAGCTGGAGTTGGATTTCCCGGGGCATTCTCATAGACGTCGTGGGAGGACAAGGGTTTAAAGTAGGGTGAACACTAGCTGGCCGTATATTTTTAAATATTTTTAAAAAATTTGGAGACTTAAAAAACATTCCAAAAATCAAAAAAAAAAATTTCAAAAATGGCCTTAAGGACCGTGTTTTATGTAACGTTATGTAACCTGCCCGAGTTAACTCGACAAGGAACTAAAAGGGTTTTAATTAACTCTTCACATCCAGATGTCAGTGATTTGTTTTTAGAGTGAGCTTTTGCAATTCGGGGATTCCCCTTGTACATGATACCATCGACGAGTCGCTATTACATCATTCTGAGTTTTGCATTGAAAGGTATAAACTGTAATTGTTTTGAAATTAAATTTTATTTTAGCAGTGTTTGTTCATTTTTATAATAAGTAGTGAGTTTAAATTTTGCAGATTTCAAGTTGCAGTATTAAGCAGCCTATTTCTTTTAATTTCTGCAAACTTTTTTTATGCAGTTTTAAGTTAATTTTAACTCGTTGTTTTGGTTTTATGNTTATAGAACAATCCCCCATTTCTCACCTCAGGGAAAGTCATAAAACAGTTGGGTGCTAATGACTTTGTGGAAGGGAAAAAGTTCTACACTTAGAAACTTCGAAAGAAGGGATTTGGCCTGTACCGTCCGCGGGCCGCATAAACATTGATAGGGGGCCGTATGTGGCCCGCGGGCTGCAGGTTGTGCACCCCTGTATATATATATATGTGTGTGTGTGTGTGTGTGTGTGTATAAATAAATAAATAATTAACAATTCTCTTTCTTATCTCTATTACATTTTATTGATTTCTCATTTTTCTATGTGATTCATGAATTATGAATTTAAGATAACTAAATCAATGGTCCATACTTGTATTACACACACACACATACAATTTTCTTAATAATAATAAGCCTATTATATCTGAGAATTGCAATTTTACAAATAAGTTGACATTAAATGTATATTTGATAATAGAAGTCTAATAATATATGGGGCAACCAAAAAATAAATTCTCTCATATATGTATTTTTACAGTTGATGAACTGTAGAAGTCAATGAACTGATAAAGACCTCTTCATCTTTGAGATGTGTTGTGTTTTTCAGTAAAAGTGCATGTTGCACATGAGCAGCAATAGCCAAAAGTTATCACAAATACACACAACATGTTCACCCATTATGATGAAAACAAGATGGTAAGCAAATGAGAGTTGTAGATGTAGACAAAGGATGAAGCGTGGACAACTGTCTGGTATAAATAGATATGTGACACATCTGGCACCAAGAGCCAGAAATGGCTGGTAAAGATTATAAACATGACACAATGTCAAAAACAGTGGTGTAGTGATGGAGCAGGCAATTCTGTCATGGCTGTAAGTGTGTCATAGACATTCAGCAACCTGAACAGCTATCAGCATCCACTGGAACAGATAACATCACAAGAGCGCAGACCATAATTTGTGCCAACAGGTGTCTTCCAAGATCCATCAACATAAAATTGAATGTTGGCTGTACCTGAATACACTACAACCTGCAACATGTTATATTATTCGAAGTGTGGAATGGGAGTGCTAGCACTGATACAGCAAGGACATATTCTTCTCACTTGGAAACTTTTTGCAAGTTTAATTCCAATTTTTAAAGCATCCGAGTCCAACAAATTATATTATTACAAGTAATCCAAGAACCACAAATTCCTACAATGGCAGACAGAAAATCCTAATAATAAGAACCGAAATTAAACCTGACCCTGGACCCAGCTCAAATAAAGGAGACCATGTGGCAGACACAAATAAACCATAGAAGAGTCAGGTAAGTCAAACTGAATCCTTCAATATATTAATGAGATATCAAATACAGACCTTCAACATCTAACAGAGAACAGAACTACAACAAATAGATCTGAACCATTACATAATCCAAAATCTAACAAGCAAGCTGAAAATAACCATGGAAATCCAATTTAGATGAGCTAATCTTAACATCGCTAATTTAACTGAACTGTTATGAAACCCATGATAAACGTATGGAGAAAATTGGGACAGAACTATCCATAATTAATAATAATGTATCAGTCCTGTCTGAACATATACCATAGACAGAGAAAAATGTTAATGTAAATTGAATCTAAATTCCAAGAATTACAAATTAAAAATTAACATCTCAAATAATATGTGTATATGCTCAATGACCAAATAAACACGAATAATCAAAACATTATTATATTTAAACATTCCCATAACCAATAAGGAGAGTTTAAAATAGGACATCAGTGCATTCATTAAAACAAATCTCCAGCAAAGTATCTGAGACAGTGAAAAGCCTTTTAAAACATGTACTTAAAAATTGCATACAAAAATCAAAATTCTGAGCTGCCTCTACTTACTGTAAAAAAACTTCAACCAACATGAATGAATAAAACTAGTGTAACATCTGATCTAACAATCTGCAAAAGAAAAAACCTCCTGGAAACTTTCTTAGATATGACAAAAAGAAAGGCTATAAAATAGTACATAGAAACAATTACAAACTATATAATAATTTACTGCCTGTCCCTTCTCTTTAGTCTTAGGAATATACATTTCAGCAGCCTGGAAAGTATTTCTTGATAAAAGCATCAGGGTAAGCTAATTAAGAGTATACTGCAGAATGGATAGTATTTAGATTACATGGCAGTAATTAATTTGCCAATATGGAGATTGTAGGTACTGGAGTAAAGTTTATACTATATAATAATAATATGAAATTGACCTACAGATTTACAAAGGATTTTTTATACTAATGATTTTTTTAGAGAAAACTCCAGGCTTTTCATCACATTTAACCAATCAAATTGTCAATATGCAATCTCTCAATGTCATTAGCTCAAACATACAAGGGCATAATATGATCAATAAGGTAGCTAATTTATCATTTTTAAAGTTTTCAATTGGAACTGTCATTGTGAAAAGGGCAAAGTATCAATGTTGCAAGTACTATTGTGTTCTGCTACACAGAAATTTTATTCAAAATATTTATGCAAATAAAAAAAAACTCAATCTTTAC